CCATAATTTGAGGCGAACCATGCTGCCCTTCCTGCTGCTGAGCTGGGGGCTTCAGCCATGCTGCCAAGCTCCCCGCCATCCCGGCGTCCTCCTTGCTCCACCGCGCTCGCCTGTGGCGATGCTGCGTCGACCGGTTCGACCGGTGGAGAGGTTGCACCGAGTTTTTTCGCGCAGGCGGCGCGAGTTCGGGCGCCACCGCCATTGCTGTGCGAGCTGCTGCAGACACCGCAGCGCTCGCTGCAGAGCGAAGCGCGGAACCGAACGGCAGTCTCACCTGCCGGCGACCTGGCTCGCCACCCGCATCCTCATCGCGCCAGTCGTCGTCGTGGTCGTTGGTGTGCATGGGAGAAATATTGGCGCCTTCATGGTCGGAAGAGGGAGGAGAGTCGTTGCCTACAGCAGGGTCCGCAGGGGGCGAAGGGGCCTTCCGAATCGTGCCGTCGGCGTTCCTTGGCAGCTTGCGCTTACCCTTTGGGCGACCCATGTGCCCGGAGCGCGTGTGCGTCTTTCGTTGCGTGCGTAAAGGGTGTGTGTATGTGTGTCCTCTGGTGTGTGTGTGGCGGGAAAAAATTCCCCGAGGGCGTGTGAAACCACCCGAAATATCTCCGAAACCCGAGTTTTTTTTTGAAATCGGAAAAAAATCATCGGTGGGAATCACGAGAGGAATCGATTGCAGCACTTTATTTTTGAATAGGACGGTTGGATTGTCCGCAAGATACTAAGTAAAATACCCTCCAATATCCGTTTTTTTGCGCATAACTCCGATATTTTTTTGTCAAGTTGGAAATCGGAAAAAAATCATCGGTGGCAAATCACGAGAGCTGTCCAAATCCGGTCTCAGATTTTGTGTCTGCAAAAAACACCGCCCTCCAGAAAGTAAGCAAGATTTCTTGAATATCTGAACATATCGAGCGAAGGACGAAAAAAAAAAAAATCTTCGTACGAAGATGCGCCTTGAAACGTCGATTTACGCGTTTTTTTTCAGATTTCGGAATAAGTACCCCCACCCCGAGAAAAATGCACCTTTGCGCAGGGGAAAATATTGTGAATTTTTCCGGAAACGGACCATCATACGTGGAAAGATCCGACCTCCAGCCGCTCCCAGCCGTCGCTCTCGCTTTCCCCTCTCGCACACAACCGTGATGAACCGCAACATCACTCCGGACAACATACATGTCGCCACCCGACTCCACCACCGATTCAAGAACAGCCACTGCTACGGTGGCAAGTCAAACAGGTGAGGCCGGTGATACATAAGTACCACGTATTGGCACGAATTAATGCCATTTTGCTTCGTGCTAATCAGGAGAGTGCACATTTTTTCTTTCGGCGGGTGTGGGAAGCGTCCTCCTTTATTTTTATTTTTTTTGTTATTTTTGTTTTGTTTTATTTTGATCGGTGTCCGAGGGCTCTTTTCTCGAACAGTAGGTGCGATACCTGTTCTTTTCTTTCTTTCGATCATTTTGTTTTCTTTTTCCGAGTGGTTTGTATCCTATTTTTGTTTTTTGTTTTCTCGCGGCGTCGTATGTGCCGGGTTTTGAGACCACGGGCTCCCCATTTTTTGTGGACTATAGAGCTAATGTGAGAAACAACAACAACAACAATATGTGCGACTGCTGTCCGCATTGATGCCGCCCAAGGGCAGTAACTCTCCCCGTTCTTGCCGAGGGCTGTACAGCAGTCGCTGGCCGAGAGCGTACTGTCTCCAAGGGGCTACACGTCACGGCGGCGCTCAGACGTTCGTAGTTCAGAAGGAAGATGCACCGGAAACAATAACGAGACGTGCTCGCCCTTACATTATTGGCAATAATGCAGTGAGAAGGGGGTGATCGTTGTACAGCAGTGTTTGCGAGAATTTCGCCGAGGCACGCGCAGACATCGCCAGCACGTGGGTGGAAACTCGTCACTTAGAGCTCCTCTATGAATCGGAAGCACCAGATTTGTGACATGCAGACTATTCCATGTAGAAAGATCTAGTTTTTTTTATGGAAGCCCCTACAGCAGTATCGCATACGTTCTCACTGACGTGATCAAATCGGAGATGTTTGACGATCGTGTTCATCGTTCATCGGCCCCGCATGTTGCTCACGAGGTCTTCAACCTTGTATGAGCAATGTCCCGCAAACGTACGCCATCACCCGGGCCCACCATTCATTGCGTCTCTTGCAGGCAGTTCCGTGGGCCAGCGATCAACTACAACCTCCCCTTCTCTGACACCCAAGATGAACGACCGTCGTCGTCGTCACGGCCCACACACCAATCAGGCGAGAGAATTGTAGTTTTCTGCCGTTGAGCATGAGATCTAGTACCCAAACGCGGGGGACGAACACAAAAAATAACACCCCATAGCACCGAGGCTCGAACAGCA